TATATATATATATATATATATATATATATATATATATATTACATTACTATTTACATGTAATAAGTCTATATATTTGTGCACTGAATGTGGAAGGACGCATCCATGTTTTCGATTCTGTCGACACAATTAAGAGGGTATAACGACTTCACACGGTAGCATGAACAAACACGTATGTTGCAGAGTATTTGTGGCAAACATTTGCTCTTCTATCAATCCAAGCAGCAGTTGAAAATATAGTACGCATATATAGCTAGCACTATAGATGCTATGATGTGTGAGTACGGGGACTCATGACTCACAGCATCTATAGTGCTATCTTTCGTGCATTCAATGAACGCGTCAAAGCGCGTTTGCACAGGCCTGGAATTGTATTCAAATTAAATACAACATGTGATTATTCTTATATTATTCAGCAACAAATCTTTCATTTTTAACGTTTTTACAAATACAGTATTCATTATAAACATGTAACAAGAGCGGTAGCTACAAAATGTGCATGTTGTATTTTTATTTTGTACTTAACACGAACCATCAGTTAACATGCGAAGTATATAAACATTTGAAAAATATCGATAGTGGCACTTTTAAAAACGAAAATTTCTAGCAAGTCATTAAACCGACACAGCAAGTATGTGCACTTGACGAGCTGCAAAACTAATGTGAAATTCCTGCTACCGAAAGCACTTATTCAAATCCGATTAAAGTAGGCCTACAATAGGAAAAAGACCAAGATGATTCCGATTTCTGCTACACCCATGCATAGAGCAACAATGCAGGAGAGATACACCCAGCGAGCGATGCATTCACAAAGCCCTGCTCAGTCAGTCAGCTGTCTGGCTATGATAAGTGCAGCGCTACACCCATTATGATACCCAGTTCAGGCCTTGCTCCAGTTTACTGCCACACACACGCACATATCAAAATTATCATTGTGGTATACCACGCGATATACACACGTCGATCCCTTTTCGCACTGCCATGTCAAATGATGATGGCTCACATTTTAACATATGCGTATTCTTGTAAATAGAAATTAGTTCAGTCGTTCAAATGCATATTTCATATTTAGCCGTTGGCAAAATGTCGATTTGTTATAACAGGCTTTATGCCACTTTATCCGCACACAATCGTAATAATTTGCATATTACATTTATCTGCGTTTGGGCTAAGGTGGCGATTTATAGAGACCAGTGATTCTTCCAATTGAAGTTAAACTTACTGAAGTAGATAAGTTGATTGTATTCACTTGCAGTAGATGGCTACATGCCCAGAGACCGGGCTCAGTGAAGAATGGCTTCATTGCCTTTGCTTGTGTAATCCTGCCCATTTATTGTAAAAATGTTGCCACTGTTTGATTATAATACGAAAGACCATTACTTGAAACTTCTCCACTATAAACGAGGTAACAATGATTTTATCTACAGCGAATTATACACCACATGCCACTAACTTTACTCTAATATACAATCAAAATATTATGGACTATAAATAATATAATAATTAACAAGGCTTCCAGATACTCAAGGTCAAATACGTGTGCACAGTCCCCGTGACGCGAGTGATCATCGTCTGTCCACCATCTTCTTCAGAGGCGATCCTACAGCCGACGCCTGCGATCACGTTCCGCTCACTAGGGGGCGTACTCGACGTGTACGTGTTCGCGGGACCGCGGCCGTATCGATAATTATCAGTATATATTATGATCTCATCTATGTATCTGATATATATTTATAGAATATTCATCTGATACTAGATACTCAGTGTTATAGTTAGATATATATCATGATATATATATTACTCACACTCGATATATTAGAATCATATTAGCACGTATAAATAGATATTTAGTAGATATATAGAGTTAGGATCTATATTTCGTTACTCCGCTGATGCTATGATGTGTGAGTACGGCGGACTCATGGACTCACAGCATCTATAGTGCTATCTTCTTTCGTGCATTCAATGAACGCGCGTCAAAGCGCGTCTTTGCACTAGGCTGGAATTGTATTCAAATTAAATACAACATGTGATGTATTCTTTGATATATATTCAGCACACTAAGATCTTCATTTTTTAGACGTTTTTAAGCAAATACGAGTAAATTCATTATAAACATGTAACGAAGCGGTATCGCTAAAAAATGTTGCATGGTTGATATTTTTTATTTTTGTACTTAAACACGAACCATCAGTTAACATGCGAAGTATATAATACATTTGAAAATATCGATAGTGGCACTTTTAAAAACGAAAAATTTCTAGCAAAGGTCATTAAACCGACACAGCAAGTATGTAGCACTTGACGAGGCTGGCAGAAACTAATGTGAAATTCCTGCTACCGAAAGCAACTTATTCAAATCCGATAAAGTAGGCACTACAATAGGAAGAAAGACCAAGATGATTCGCGATTTCGTGCTTAACAGACCCATTGCATAGAGGCAAAATGGAGGAGAGATGACGAGGCCGCGAGGGCGATGCGTTTCATAAAGCCCTGCTTCAGGTCAGTCCAGCTGTCGGGCTAATGAATAGAGTGCATTGCGCTAGAGCACCCCATTTATGATACTCCAGTTCAGGCCTTGCTGCCAGTTTAGCTCGCCACATCACAACGCAGCGATAAGTCAAAATTATTCATTGTGTATACCCCACGCGATAGTATGCACACGTCGGAAATCCCCTTTCGCACTGCCATGTCAAATGAATGAATGGGCTCACATTTTAAACACTATGCGTAATTCTTGTAAACTAGAAATTAGTTGCAGTTCGTTTCAAATGCATATTTTCATATTTAGCCGTTGGCAAAATGCGATTTGTTATAACAGGCTTTATGCCACTTTATGCGCGCACACGAATGCGTATAGATTTTGCATATTACATTTATCTGGCGTTTGGGCTAAGGGTGGGATTTATATGAGAGCCATGTGATTCCTTCAATTGAAGTTAAACTTACTGAAGTAGATAAGTTTGATTGTATTCAGCATTGCAGTAGAGGTGGCTAACATGCCGCAGGAGACGCGGGCCTCAAGTGAAGAAAGGCTTCCTTGGCCTTTGCTCTGTGTAATCCTGCCATTTATTGTAAAAATGTTGCCACGTTTGATGTATAATCAATATAGACCATTACTTGAAACTTCTTGCCATCTATAAACGAGGTAAACATGATTTTATCTAAGGCCGAATTATACACCACATGCCACTAACTTTACTCTAATATACTAATCAAAATACTTAATGGACTTATAAATAATCATAATAATATAACAAGGCTTCCCAAGATACTCAAGGGTCAAATAGCGGTGTGCAATGTGCTCGTGTATATATAATATATATATATATATTACTATATATATATATATATATAACTATATTCGTACATCTATCTTGATTCTTTGCCAATAGGGTAAGACGGCATGTTTGTGACACACTGTCAGCGAAATAAATCTTCACGGCGACTTTTGCGAGTGATGTCGACATCAGCAAATCACTTTAGTGGCTACATACGACACACTCAGCGCTCGCGCTCCTAATTCCATGTACAAATTAAAGGCGGAACTGCCTATATAGAGTCATTACATAGTAACTACTTTGGCAGCTCCGAAAAGTTGGCTGCTGCGATCCGTCTACCCTTTCGCGTTAATGAAGTTCTCGCCGCCTGCAGCGGTTCTCCTTCTCCTGTGTGTGCTGGCCTCTACGGAACTTCTTCAGATCACCGCGGAGGGCCTTGCCGCTGTCGCAGCCGGCGGCGCGCACAAACTACACTTTGGGTCGGGGAATGCGGAAGTGCGTTGATGTCGGTCGCAACTGTCGACGAACGGTCCTCGGACATGGGCGGCTGCGTGTGTTTTGTACAGGCTGACGGCGTGATCACGGGAACTCGTTGCTATACCGTAGCAGGAAGCCTGAAAACAAACAAGACGCTTGGCGGTCACGATCGGCGAATTCGCTGGCAAAGTGCCAGCGCGCGACGTGCGGGCGCCGCAGCAAGCTCGCGGGGAAAATACGCACGGCAAGAACGCGCAAACATCAAATGATTTAATACAAACATTTGCGTAATAATGGCACGAGTGTGACTAAGGTCTACTGCTAGGCAACATATAGCACACAC